GTGTTCAAAAACTCCTTGAGTCTGTTCAAAAATATTTCAAATGTTGAAGCTTCTCTGACATGAATCGGTACCTGGTTATACATAAGTACTGCTCTGGTCAATGGATTATAAAGTGCTTTATTTGTTCTTATGCTACTGACATGTAAATTACGATTTCCTCTTGTTTTGTACTCATACAGTTCACTGTTTGTTTTTAGACTAGAATTACTTTTGAGATTGCAAAATAAAATCTTATAAATGTGTTTGCATTGTTCTAACTCTAACACATATCTTATTGGCTGTAACGAAAGATGTGGGTACAATAACTCTGAGGAGGTACGATAAGGCATTTGAAACAGGACCTTAACTGTCAATATGATTTCCCCAATTAAGTTTATCATCAACTATAAGACCTAGATATTTGGTTGAGTGAACTTGAGATATCTGCATATTATTGATATTTATTTCAAATTTATAATGTTCTGTATTTTTTTGTTGGAATACTAAATATATAGTTTTTTCTGCATTAAGTTTTAGTTTGTTATGCAATAACCATTCAGAATATCTACACAAGTCAACATTTACAGTTTGTTCAAGTGTTTGCATGTTGGATCCACTATAAAAAAATACAGTGTCATCCGCAAACGTGAAATACCGTCCTGTCAGGCCAGCCTGCCTCAGTGACAACACGTGAATTAAATACAATATCGGCCCTAAAACTGAACCCTGTGGTACTCCACAATTGTTTAAAATTCTATTACTTTCTATTCCCTCCACTGTAACAAACTGAGGTCGATCCTTCAAGAAGGACGCAATAAGGGAATACATCACCCCTCGAACACCCATGGTCCATAATTTATTTAGTAGAACCGAGTGGTCCACTACATCAAAAGCTTTTTTAAGATCAATAAATACAGCAATAACACATTTTTTTTCATCCAAAGCTGAAGCTACACAGTTTACAAAATCTGTTACAGCACAAAGAGTATTACTTTCCTTCAAAAACCCATACTGATACCTATCAAAACCGATATATTTGTTTATAAATTGAATTAATCTAGTTTTCAGCAAAGACTCGATAATCTTGGAAAAAGCACACACAACTGTAATTGGTCTATAATTTTGTTTATTGGTTATATCGCCTGCTTTATGTAATGGAGTTATTTTTCCTAATTTTAATATTTCTGGAAATATACCTGTTGCAAGTACATTGTTAATGAGATTTGTCAAAATTGGCAGTAGTGGTTCAATAATTATGATAAGATCTTTTACGTTTATATTATCAAAACCTGCAGCTGAATTTTTATTTAGATTACTCAAAACTTCATAAATTTCCCTTTCATTTGTTTCCCTTAAATAAAAAGTCCTATCACATTCAAGCTCCCCTAAATCTACTCTAGTCTCCATTTGTGACCATTCCCTATTTACTGACTGTACAATTGATTCACCCACGCTTGCAAAGTATTTATTGAACTCATTTGCAATTCTCGCTGGATCAGATTGCAGCAAACCATTTATTTCCAGAGAGCCTACAGCACCTTTTTTTTTGTTTTTATTTATTAGAGAATTTATGACTTTCCACTGTTTTTTGGGGTTGCTCCCTGCATTGGACCACTGATTTGCAAAAAAGGATGTTTTTTGTTTACGTATTTCACAGTTAATCTTGTTTTTCAAAGTTTTGAATTCATCTTCGGTAGTTTTAGTAGGTTCATTATTAATTTTTAGTTGTTTTAATGCTTTATATTTATTATCTCGTTCCTTGATTAACTGTAAAATATCATAGGTCATCCAGTTATTACCTTCACGATGTTTTAGGGTACATTGGTATGAAGCTTCTTTTTTACATTTCTGAATTAACGCAGTTAGCTCTTGGAATGAGTGGATATCCTTATTATTTACATTTACAGCATCAAAGTTTTGTTTAAATTTATCTTTATTTAGTATACTAAAAGTTTTAGTTATTTTTGGTTTGTATACATCTAACTCTAATTCTATTCCTATAATTAAAGGATTATGATCAGACAATGCACAGTCAATCACAGAAACATCACATAAATTTTTTTTATTTACAATAACATGGTCTATTATAGACATTTGGAAAATACCATTTCTTGTAGCATTCTCGCAATTAATAATGTTGCTAACCCTATATCCGTTAGTAATTATAGCATTTAAGTATTCATTTTTTTCTTCTAAATCACCTAGCAGATTTACATTCATATCTCCTACCACAACTGTGCTTTGTTTGTATTTTGATAAAATATTTTGAAAAACCTCAATAAATTCACTAAACACATACCTTGGCGGTCTATATATTCCTATTAAGTCCAATTTGGCACTTGTTATGTGTATCGATAGTAAATTGAACGGAGATGTTCCCTCCACTGTCTCAATCAATCTGTAGTCAATGTTTTTTTTTGTATATATGGACACTCCTCCAGCTCGTCCTTCCCTGCATGCATGGTTGGCATTAAATCCTTCCAGATCAAAGAAGCATGTTTCGTCCCTTGACAACCATGTTTCGGTTAAAATGAGGACATCACAGTCATGTATTTTTAAAAAACAACCAAGTTCGTCGATCTTGTTTCTCATGCTCTGCATATTCAGGTAAGTTATACGGAGCATAGGCCCCTTAGTCAAGGAAGATGTTTTTAGTTTTTTAATCTACAACTATTTCGAAAATATTGACAATTGAACATTGAGTTCTTTGTGTTTGTTTTTATCATAAGAAACAAATGTGTTCTCATTTCCCTTACAGATATAAAGTCCTTTTCCTTTTCCAACACATTGTTTCTTATGACAAAAACTGAAATAATTTTCTTTTATTGAAAACCGTTTAGATAAAGCTATCGAACTTTATATCATTGAAATCAGCAGAAGCAGAGCTTTCCAATGAGTTATTAATATATAATAATATACTATCCTATTGAAAAAAATCGGATTTTGGTAATATCTCGGAATCGGAGCCAAATAGAAAACAACTGAGAACTTTACTGAATTCTGCTTGAAAAAGTGATCCTAGAAAGTCTTCACGGAAACCAATTATTTTCATTAACAAAAAAGTTATAAAGGTTTAACAGTATGTATTGCTCAAAATCGAGAATCGCCCTCTAGCGGCTAAACAGTTGAAGATATCAAAATGCGGTTTGCACCAATCAAGATTTCATGAAATTTGAGTTTTTTCTATCTCTAAAAATAAAGGGTGTTTCCATATGAAAGTGTCCAATTTGGACCACCCTTACATTTTTTTTTACTATTTTTCTGGGGTTTCTTGAAGGGAGGCTCGACAACGATATAGAGAGCTCTTTTTCGCCATTTTGGAATCACCCTGTATATTATATCAGTTGTTTGATTATTTAAACTTTAAACCAACTATCGCAAAACTAAACAGAAAACTTCAAAAATATGGATTTTAAATATATTAGGCCAAAATAGATATTTTTGGACAATCCTTGTATAGGACTAGAAAAAATGTATATTTGATGGTTGTTGCATTTTGTGTTATAGACCATGCAGAACTTATTATGAAGCATAACTATTTGTTTTCGTAAAATTCATAATGGAAAGGTTTTATATAATAATAGGTTTGTTTATGCAGAAATCACAAAGCAATCCGATTGAATTTCATTAGTTGAAATTAGTTTCCTGACTGTTGTCAGCCAGTGAAATTCGCTCTGACTGGTTTGTGATTTCTGCAGAAACAGGCCTAATATCTTAGCAGACACTTCTGAGTTGCTACCAATACCTATAAATGATGCAAGTCGACTCTGTATTAATAATTGCAACTGCTCAATCTTGAAGAATTTCATATATTAGCCAATGACCCTACTTGCTTCGCTTGCGCCTAAACGTTTTAAAACAAACTTCTAACGTTACATATTATTTAATATGTGATAATCCCAATAATGTACAGGGTATTTGATTATATTTGGCACCATACCTACAGCCTTTACTATTTAAGATAGAAGAAAATTGTAAATACAAAATTTGACTTTTTTTTTCTATATTTTCTCTTAACGTTATCAGAAAAAACAAAATCGCATCAGAAAATGGAGAAACGTAGACAACTTCGTCTTTTTTAAATGGAACACCCTGTATATTTTGCGATAAAATGAAAGACCTATTCTTCCTGATTACAAATATATATATGTTGACCATATTTGCGTCAGCCATTTTTGACATATCTTAGCTTAAATTAAAACTAAATTACAAAGAAATTTTATAAAGATAGAAATCCTTATAGAACTTCTCTGCAAGTTCTTTATAATTTAACCTGAGATATGTCAAAAATTGCTCAAGCAAATGTTATCAATATATATATATATTTGGAATCAGAAAGAATAGATCTTTCATTTTATCGCATAATATACAGGGTGTTCCATTAAAAAAAGTCGAAGTTGCTTACGTTTCTCCATTTTCCGATGCGATTTTGTTTTTTCTGATAACGTTATCAGAAAATATAGAAAAAAACTGTCAAGTTTTGTATTTAAAATTTTTTTCTATCTTAAATAGTAAAGGCTGTAGGTATGGTGCTAAATATAATCAAATACCCTGTACAGAGGCTGTTCCTTATAATTAGTGCGGCTTCTACAGCTTGAACAAAAAAAAAAAAAATTAAAAAAAGTTAAATACAAAAGTTGTAGGGTTTTATCTCTATTATCTTTTGCAAATGTCAAAACGGGCAAATGACAGGTGCCAACTGTCATAATGACATTTTTGGAATTTTTTTAAATGGAACACCCTGTATATTTTTGACTAGAATGATAGTTTTTTTTTTCTGATCCCAAATATACCATATAGGTTGATATTTGGTTCAGCTGTTTTTGCACTATTTAATTTTAAAATTGCATTGAGCAAGTCTCATAATTGATGTAATAAACCGGGACAGACCTAATTTAGGGTAATATTAATGCATAGGCACATCCTGTATAAGAATCACCCTTTTTGTAGGAACCAGAATGCACAGCCTACTACATACATTACTTGAAAATCTAATGTTTCAAAATTTTCTTCTATTTCAGGTGTATTTTGGGTAAAATGTGAGGCCGGATCTTACATCAGAACAATGTGTGTACATTTGGGAATGATTTTAGGAGTTGGTAAGCATAATTTATCCATTTTTTGTTCCAAAACATTCAATAATTTTTAATTTTTAGGTGGTCAAATGTTGGAATTGCGCAGAGTCCAATCGGGAAGTGTCAACGAATTGGACGATCCTGCAACTCTTCACGATATCTTGGATGCTCAATGGATCTATGATAATCACAAAGACGAGTCGTACCTGAGAAGAGTTATTAAACCTTTGGAGGCACTGTTGATTAATCACAAGAGGATTATTTTAAAGGACAGTGCTGTACGTTTTTTCGTTGTTCCATTACTGTTTCATTTAATTATATTTGTTTTTTAGATTAATGCTGTTTGCTATGGTGCAAAAATCCTCATTCCTGGTATCTTAAGATACGAAGACAACATTGAAATGAATGAAGAAATCGTTATCGTAACAACAAAAGGAGAAGCTGTAGCACTCGCAATTGCCCTAATGACTACAGCTACTATAGCCACCTGCGATCATGGAGTAGTAGCTAAAATTAAAAGGGTTATCATGGAAAGAGACACTTACCCTAGAAAATGGGGTTTGGGTGCAAGAGCCAGTCAAAAAAAGATTCTCATTGCCAAAGGAGAATTGGATAAATATGGAAGGCCTAATGAGAATACACCGAAAGCTTGGTTAAATAGCTACGTGGACTTGGCAGTGTAAGTTTTTCTATTATTGTTTCAATTTTAAAGCTTTTATGCTTAAACCAAATGGGCTTAGACCTTTATTTTCTTGTATCTTTTAGTAAACCTGAAATTAAAAAAGAGGTCGAAGAAAGCCAGACAGCTGAAGACTCAAAGAAAGTGAGTTTAATTTATTTTCTTTGAGTTGCATTTTTAATAATTGAACTTTATATTTAGCGTAAGCATGATATTTCTACTGAGTCTACCGCAGAGGTAACGGAAGCTGAAGAAAAGACTCCTAAAAAGGAGAAGCATAAGAAAAAGAAGCACAAACAAGACTCCGAAGTTTCGGAAGATGCTGGTGCCAGCAAGATTACAGAGGAGAGTGTAACTGAAGGAGAGGTAAATATATTTGGCAAAAATATTTTGTTTGTAATAAAAAATATTTTCTTTTAGGTAACCAAGAAAGAGAAAAAGAAGAAGAAAAAGAAAAGTAAAGACCAAGATGCCGAAGCAGCTGCTTAAATAGACTTAGACTATGTTCAATCATGTTAATTTTGACATCTACATATTTTCATTTTATTCACTTAAAAGTTGTTTTTTGTATTGTGTACAACAGTACCTACATAGATATAAGTATATTTTTTCAAGGATTTAATTAGATCTTTTGATGGGTATTGAATGATTTTTTTTTTAATTCCAAGATAGTTTTTTTAAGCATTATGTGCAACATTTTTATTTAATACATAACTATTAAATTTATGTATTGTTTAAATAAAATAAATTGTTCTATAAATTTTTGATTTGTTTTTAAAGCTTTGTCCTTGACTCATGCATCCTCAAGTCCAACAATTCTTTGAGATAATTGAAAATGTCATCAACAAAACATTCATAGTTTTAGAACATCCCTAACCAAAACTTGTAGTAAGGTTGTCTCAAAATATAACATTTTTACAGTTTGATTCATTAAACTGTGAAAATTTGTTGTCATCACCCTGTATCGTATTGAAACGAAAATTAGTACATGTGGGTTTTAGGCCATTCTAAACAAGAATCTGCTATCAGATTTTTTCTAAAAAAATCCGTTATAAAACTTATTGAAATTTGAGCCTATAAATGTGGATACCCTGTACACCACCAGTACAGCCTATAAGCCTAATAAGTGCCAAATTCGAGTAGATATAAGACTAAAAAAATCAATTGAATCTGTTAAAAAATAAAAATTTTGGAAGGGTGGTCAGTCCAAGTGGGACACGCCCAAGTAACCTATTATCCGTTCACAATCCGATGTCCACAGGTACAGGTAAAATTTATCACCTTTCAATGCTGCTTAATAGAGAAAGGTGATAAATTTACCTGTACCTGTGGACATCAGATTGTAAATAGGATATAATTTTAAAATTAAGGAAATTCCCACCAGTAATTTGGAAAAAAAATCGCGAGATTGGGAGTCCTGTGGGTCGTATAGCTTGGCTAATCGGGTCAGGTTTCTTATGGCATTTGTACTTAAAATGTGTTTCCTGACTCTGACAACTATGTTGAATTTCATGCTTGTAACCCAATTTGGCGTTTTCCTCAAAAATTTCGTAAAAGGGAAGGGATTGAAAAAAGTCGCCCTCTAGCGGCTAAACAGTTAAAGATATCAAAATGCAGTTGGCAGAGGTCAGTGGGTTTGCACCAATCAAGATTTCATGAAATTTGAGCCTCATAATGGGGGGGTTCAATACGTCTCCGAACAGATCTGTATACAGGGTGTTTGGTACATCGATAGCAAGTTTTCAATGAGTGATAGTTGGGGGTTGGGGTTATTTGAGAGACGTTTGACCACATTTACCCTTATGCAAAGTTTCGTCTTTTTTGAGATATCAGCATTTTTAGATATTTTTGAATTGTTACTAAAACAAATTGTTTTTTTTTGGTAGTAAACACTTTGACCTTTCTCAATTTTTTTTTCTGATATTCCTAATATGCACTCTTTCGAAAAATACAGAAAGAAAAACCGATTGATAGATACAAAAAATATGTAGCCTAATAAGTTGTGTTAAAAAACTTGGATTCAAAATATCTAAAAATGGCGATATCTCGAATAACGGCAAAATTGTGCATGACGGTAAATAATATGGTCAAACTGGAAGCTGTTTCACCCCTACAAAACTGATTTTTTTTTTCACTTTGTCGTACCTGTTCCTGTAGTAGGTATACCTGAATACCTAAAGATTTCAGGTATTCTACTTTTCCGCACTCAGTGCGGAATAATAACGGAAAAGCACTAGTGCGGAAAAGTACATTTTTCTGCACGCTCATAGAAAAAACTAATTTCAAACATATTCTGTATCTACATATTTTTGAAATTGAAAATACTCATCCAGAGTAAAAAAACAAGAAAATAAAAAAGTGCTTATGGATTGCTGTTCTGCGCCAATCCTAAAATAATCAGAGCAGGGCATATTGGAAGTTGTATGAGGTCAAATAAATACAATAAAATTATTTTTATTCAGTTTATTAAGCAAATTCTCACAGGTAAAAATACAAACAATTACGTCGAAGGACAAATAATTATTCTTGGAAAAAAATGATCATTTTCTACATTGTTCATTTATCCTAATACATCTTCAAGTAACAAATAATCTAATACAAAAAATCACAGAGTGATTAAAATATCTAGAACAATAATCAAAAACAAATTAATTCTAAAATCAAAATTATCAATAAAAGAAAACAAACGAAAATGATTTAAAACCATGAAACTTAACTTAAATATTAATGAACAGGGTTATGGGGCAATGATCAGATCCATAAACATCCTTATTCACAACATTATCGCAGACTTTGTCACCGATCCGTTCGGAGACAATAAAATAGTCCAAACGCCTGAGAAAGATTATTATTTTAGAAATATGTATTAAGAAAGAAATTAGTCAACTTACCATCCTACATTCTTAGCTCTGGCCTTAGCCATGTACGACCAAAACGTGTACACATCTTTCTCTTCAGGATACAGTTCCCTGAATGTATCAACAAAGCCTCCATCTTTCAAAAAATCAGTCATTCCGTCACGTTCTTCCTAAAATTTATGTAAAATATATCATGAATATAATAGAAATTATGACAGGAAATCACCTGAGTAAATCCAGCATTTTTTTTGTTAGACTTTGGATTGCTCAAATCTATTTCGTTATGGGCAACATTCATATCACCGCAAACAATGACCGGTTTTTTTTCATCAAGGTTTTTGATAAAAGCCTTGAATAGCTCGTTCCATTCGAGACGTTTTGGCAAGGTCTTCAAGCCTCTGCCTAAAATTAAAAAAAGTAAGAAAATAAAATAATCTACTAAAATTTTACTAATATTTACCAGCATTTGGCACATATACGTTCACAAGATAAAAGCCATCATATTCGCAGGTAATGCAGCGTCCTTCATTGTCATGCTCATCATTTCCTATTCCATGAATAACGTCCAGCGGGACGATTTTGGAATAAACTCCCACACCTGCGTAGCCTACAACAACAAAAAAACACCCATAAAATAACAAGATTTTTTTATTTAAATTATACACATTTAGGTATCTCTCCCACTCTTCCATAGGCAAAGAAGACCTCGTGCATAATTACACTGAAGCTTTTTAAATTGTTGAAACTTACCCTCCTTTTGGCTGGGACACCAATACACATGATAATCGTCGATTTTGGTGAGTTCTTCAGGCAATTTTTTGTCACTGCACCTGGTTTCTTGCAGACAGAATATATCTGGTTTGCTGTAGTTCATTATAGAGGAACCGTCTTTGGTTAACCAGGACCTTATACCATCCACATTCCAGGAGGTGATTTTCAAATTGTGAACTTTACCTTGAAAATGTGAAAATATAAGTGGAAAACAGAGGTTGGGAATTTTTACTGTGTATTTGGTTCTATACTCTACACTTATTATAATATGTGAAAAAAAAACTGCATCATGATCTACGGTTGTAGATAAAATTTTATACAAGAATGTCTTACATACGCTTCAACGCATTAACAACTCTTAAGGGTAGGTTTCTCAATAGTGAGTCACTTCGGGAACTCCAGGGTGAAAGTCTCCAGTTGCAATGTTTACCCTGGAATTATGCTTAACCCTCCGCTTAACCAGGGGGTGACTTGCTATTGAGAAACCAGCCCTGAGTGTTATAACATGCCTTATAGCTTATGTGAAATATAAAATTTATTTTGTATTTATTAACAACCGATTCACTAACGAAACTATAGGAAGATTCAAGAACCTGGAATAAACAAAAATTAAGATGGAAAAAAAATAAAAACTGTTGAAGTAATTAGTCTTAATTTCAGCTTAATTACTCAAAAAATTGTGTTGAGATTGGGTTAAAATTACAAAAATTGTGAGGCAATGTGCTTTTTTTTTTTGAGGAAGAAACATTTTGAAACTACCCTGGTTTTCTTTCTATATTATGCCCGAAAAAAAATTTATATCAATGAGTATTTATTTATTTATTTATTTATTTACGGGCAAGACCCATTAAAAAAAAAAAACAACAAGAAACATTAAGTACCTTACAACTAAATAAACATAGGCCAGTAATACTTGGCGTAGTGACAGGATAAAAATACATATAAATTATTAACAGTAAAACATTAAATCAGTTATAGGTATAAGAAAATAGAGGACAAACATAAATAATGACTGATCAAGATGACTAGAAATTCTTAGCTATCGAACTTGGCATCACAAACAAACAAGGAGAATTACATTAGAGAGTTAAGCTCTCTTTTAAAGCTATTTATGGGTCCAAAAAAATCCAGGCTACCATGGGTGTTACCTAATCGAGAAGTTCTGGAGATGAATGTATTGAAACCATAGTTTGTACGGTGATTTCTTTCTGAGAAGGTTATGGCAGAGCGGGTGTCCCTTGCTGGGACGTGAAGCCCTATTCTGGACAGTAGGTATGCGGAATCACTAATGGAGTTCAGTACCTTGTAAAAAGTATATAAATCTCTTTGATTGCGTCTAGCTGCCAAGGGTTGTAGATTGAAGCGTCTGTATAGGTCGTCATAGTCATACACATAGTTCTCAGGCGAAGGAATACCTGCCTTGAAGGCTAAATAACGTACGAATTTGCGCTGCACTAGCTCTAGGGCTCTGATATGATTAGAATACATTGGTGACCAGACAGAGGAGCAGTACTCCATCAGGGGCCTCACCATTGAGCAATAAAGGTATCTGATAGAATCTATGCTTGTAAAATCTCTCGAACACCTCTTAATGAAGCCTACAAGTTTTAACGACCTTGTTGTGATGTCTGAAATATGGGTGATAAAATTGAGACTGCTGTCAAAAATGACACCAAGATCTCGTTGTTGTGAGACAGTTTCAAGCGGAATGTTGTTTATATGGTACGCGAATTGTGGAGGGCTACGACCCTTGGAGAAAACAATGGCTTTGCATTTGGAAGCATTGAGCTCCATGCCGCTCAAAGCGCACCACTCAGAGAGTCTGTCGAGGTCAGATTGTAGTCTGGCACAGTCTTCAATAGAAGAGACCCGGGTGAACACCTTTAAATCATCCGCAAAGCACAGGAACTCACTGTTAATAAAACAAGACTTGATATCGTTAATAAAAACGTTGAACAGCAGAGGTCCCAAGTGAGAACCCTGTGGAACGCCCGATGGGATGTCAATTTCGTGTGAGAAGAAGTTGTTAACTTTGATTATTTGAGTTCTCTCCCCAAGATAGTCGCTAATCCACTTCAACAAAGTACCGGAGATTCCAGCACTTTCAAGCTTAGCAAGCAGAACGGCATGGTTGACACGGTCAAAGGCCTTTGCAAAATCGGTATATATGGAGTGAACTGATTCGCCATCCTCAAGAATTCTTGAGGATGTATTAGTACCTTCTTTATTTTTTTTGTCAGAATCGAAGTTAATATTGTCCCATATGGTTGCAGTTTGATTCAATGGTGCTGCTTTGGTTTCAGTTTTCTTGACCGCAGCTTTAGCTCCTCGCTTCTTCTTAACTGGAACATCTTCTTCGGAATCCTCTTCTTCAAACTGAACATCGAAAATAATTTATAAGAGATTTTTTTTAGTATATGTACCAATATTTATTACCATCTGCTTTGGTGCTGCTCCACGTCTTTTCCTTGCAGGAAGTTCTTCAATTAAATCCTCAACTACTTCTTTGGTATCTTGTTTATCAGTCTGACATAAAAATAATTGAAACGTTTTAGGTTGAAAGACACTTCAGATATACTTTTGATTACCTGTTTTGTGGCTCCTCTCTTTTTCTTTGCAGGAGCTTCATCAGTCGCTTCAGAGGCTTTTAATTGTTTTTTAGTCTGTTTCTTATCAGAGACCTCCTCATCTGGGGTTTCAACCTAAAAAAATAAAAAGCTCATCTCATGCACATGAAATATGAATTTTTCAAAGTTTGGAGATAATTTCAATGGTGATTCTAATCACCTGCTTAGCTCCTCCTCTTTTTTTCTTTGCCGGAGCTTCATCAGTTGCTGCTGACTCCAATTGCTGTTCATCAGCCATTTCTTCATCAGGTTTTTCAATCTGAAAAAATAAAAAGCTCATGTCAGGTACATGAAATATCAATTTAGGAGTTGCAAGTAAAATTGGTGATTCTAATTACCTCTTTTGCTACTCCTCTTTTTTTTGCTGGTAGCTTGACTTTAACTTTCTCTGGTTCTGGCTTCTTGACCTTGAAAGATACACAATTTTATAATTGGAACAAATCAATTGTAAGCCATAGAAAAGCTACGGTTGGGCCTGCTACTTTACACCAGTTTTTTTGAAGACAAAAACAAATTACGCGATTACCTGCTTGGTTTCCTTTCCTTTTTTAGTCTTTGTCACTTGCACATCTGGTATTTCTTCATCTGACAAAGGTTTGTCTAATTTTTCAGCCTTTTTCCCTTTTCTAGTTTTAGCCACTACTTCTGTTTCATCTTTTTCTGGTAAAGGGTCTTCAAGCTTCGCAGCCTTTTTACCTTTTCTGGATTTTGGCATGTCTTCTTCCGATAGGGGATCATCCAATTTTTCAGTTTGCTTACCTTTCCTAGCTTTTGGCAGTTGAGGTTCTTCATCCAAGAAAGGATCATCAATGTTTCCAGCTTGTTTCCCGTTTCTATTTCTTTTTTCTATCAACTGTGTATTTGTTGAAGGATCATCTTTTTCTTCAGCCTAAATAAACAATATTACAGTAAGGGCCGGTTTGTTCAACATCTGATAAACTGTCAGGTATGCAATCTGGTGGATAAAAACGCAATCTGTAATCTCATTAGTTTGCCAGTTATCCGTTGACCAATAAAATTATAGAACGGTAAATTTATCTACCAGCAATTTTATCTGAAGATGAATAAACTGGGCCTAAGTAATTTAAATATAAGAGGTAGTGTCTAATCATAGAACCAAGTGGCCAGAATTTCTAATTACAAATTAGCCATATTTTCTTCCAAATTTAAAACTTATTATCTTGTAATAAATATATTAATCATTTTCTATTTACCAAGCTAGCCAAGCATTTTTAAAGTCATCAATATTATGAACAGTAGGTCAGTGAAACATATAAGTCAGCACTTTAGTTAATTACCTTTGTAAATTTCTCGGTAAATTTTGCATTTATTTGTGTATAAATAGTGTTATTGTTCCTTGAATAAATTAGTATTATATCATCAGTTGTTTGTACTCAATCACACCTAACAGTCAAGTCAACTGCTTACTACAGAGTGTTACCGTGTTACTACGCACCCTATCAAGTATTCGACAACAAAGAAGTAGGTGCTCAGAATGTACTCAAGTCATTCTCTGCCACCTTTTCTAGTTACAATAATTCTCACATCAAGGGAACGATTGTACAGTTTAAATGAAAGAATAACAAAAAATGCCAAACCTTCCTATTCACAGTTCAAAACACAATGGTTTTTTTTTTTAAAGTCGTGTGCTATCCAACTTGAAATCACAGGGTTCAAGTCTAGGGAGAGAGTCGATAAAATCAAAGATCTTGGAATTTATATCGTTGATGAATTGCGATTTGATTACCACATAAACTTTATCAGGAATAAGGCACTAAAAATGTTGGGTTTTGTTGCCAGAACGCTATCAAACTTTGATTATGTAAATTGCTTTAAGGTACTGTAAAAGTGGACTTTTACTGCCTAGGCATTAAAAGTGACAGTGTCACAACGTTCCAGGTAATAATTTCACTCAATTTGGTATTTGAAATTGATGGTGACAATGACAATTGTCAAAATAATTTAATTATTTGGATAATAATAATGAATGAAATAAATATAAAAAAGATGTCCATGTGTGAATTTGAACATTCGGAGAAAAAATTATATGTTTTACATGGCAGAAAAGTAGATTTAATGCCTCGGCTGGTTTCCTAGACTCGACTACGAAACACCAGCTGCGGCATTAAATCTTGTACTTTTCTGTCTAGTAAAACAAATAACTATATGACCACATTAGTAATTTTTTTTAATCAATAGTTTTTATCACATAAACAACGAAAAAAAATGTGTCGGACAAAAATATTGGGGCATTCGTCGCGTCGGACATGCTAAATATGTCAAATTTATGGGAAAAAATAATTTATTACCACACGGCTGATTTGAACAAAATCTGCCATAAAAATATTTTACAATAACGTGGTAACCTCGTCGGACAATTTTCACGAAGCATATGCGCAGTCGGATGCGCCAAAGATGTCAATTTCCTGTAACAATTTTATTTACAATCACAGATGCAATTTTTATTTTTTACTGTTTCTTTACATGTGTAACGCATATCGGATCAATTGTCGGACAAAAATAATGGGGCGTTTTGATACAATTTAAAAAAAAAGTAGGTAATTTTTCACTTCGTCACTTTTCAAAATTATCAGACGTAAAATTCCAAGATTAGAGCAACAGTTGAAAGAAAAGAACAAATCAATAATTTTTCCAACAATGGCTAATTCTAAAATAATTTAACTAACTTTGAACCCTTGAAAAAGGAAACAATAAAATTTCCGAAAGCTCGGCGTTTGTGAAAAACTAGTTTTATTTTTGCCAAGACTGAATCCCAAGAATCATCTCACTTATTAAACAAGCCAGTCAAAAATTTCTACATCTATAATTTATAGTATATATGCATACAGACATACCCATGCACACACCTATATGTTTTATACTGGGTGAGTTACTAAGAGTGCGGTGGTCCCTATCTCCTATACTAACCGAGATCGAAGAAAAAAGTAAATACAAAACTTGTAGATAAGCAAAGTCAAGTCAAGTCAAAATATGCTTTATTGTCTAAAAAACATGGTTCCATTGACAAAGCAGAAATATAAAAAGTACACAGTAGGCAAATAAAGAGCAAAAATAGCAAATAACAGATACACAGCAAAAATACTATGGTAAAAAAAAAAGCACAGCAAAAAAAAAAAAAAGAAACAACAACAACAAAAAAATATGAAAAAATTTAAAACAAAATATTAAATATAAAGATAAACATAACACATCAACGTTAAAATTTTAAAAATGTTGATAAAATATAAATAAAATGGACTTTTAAAATATCTATCTTCCAATTAAAAAATAAAATTACTTAAGGTACATATCTAAATTAAGTCAAAAATGGTCAACAAGTATATAGGTATATATGGAACATGCAATAAACAACAATCACAGTAGCCATGAGTCTAAAATATATAAAACAGAAATGCACACATATATAAATAAATAAATAAATAAAACAGACAAACCTAAAATAAAGGTCTATCAAAAATGCCACAAAATTAAATTTAAAATCATCTACAGTTCGTCATCAAAATACTCATCCAAACTATAGTATGCCTTTTCAGCCAATAGTTCCTTAACCTTGGTTCTAAATATCTTGCATGAATCTAAGTTTCTAATATTATGTGGAAGTTTATTGTACATTTTAATTCCACGATAAATAATGGAATTTTGCGTTAAAGTAGTCCTTGGAATAGGGAGTGGGATGTTATTATAATTTCTAGTTTGGTAGCATGAGTGCTACATTCCTAAATTATTTTCCAGTATACAGGGTGGCTCTATAAGTAGTGGTGACACAAGGCTATGTTTTTTTAAATGACTAGCCCTGTATATTATGACATTTCTGGATTCTGCTGAGAATTCTAGACATATTTCATGTACAACGTCATATACCTATCTTCAACTGTTTCGGAAGTATTGACAGTTTAAAATTGACTTTTTTGCGTCTTTGACAGACTGTAAAACCTAAATTAATTTTAGAGGAAAACCGATTTTACATTCCTATCTTAGATTTCCATAAGCTGTTGGTTGGTGTCAAATGATACACCAACTTTAAATTTGACTGAAGATTATAATTTAAGCGGAATTTTTAATCATGGATTAAATTCAAAGTTGATGTCAAATGATGCCGGTGAAACGAGCATGCGGAAAAGTATAGTTTTCCGCACACATTTTAGGTCATGAAAGTATCACTTTTCCGTACTAGTGCTTTTCCGTTATTTTTTGATAAATTTTTTTGATACAATTTTTCGCGTTCCCAGTTTTTCGGTGATTCGTCACCGTATCAATGTTAAGGCAAAAGCAACCAGCGTTTTTTTCTTGCATAAAATCGACAACTTCGTGACAGCTTGACAGACAAACGCCCCACAACCATAATGCGCTGAGCTCAAAATTTATCTGACTCCACCCAAATAGCAAATACAAAAAGTTTCGGCGGTGTGATCATAAATAATAAATTTAGATCTGGGCCCAAGGACTATAACTTTTTCATAACTTTTTGTCCTGGGGTTTTGCAGGTGGAAATGTTTGATACTACTAACATTTGTTTTTCTAATTGTTAATCACACACTATGGTTGATTACTTGATGCATTTGTATTTGAGGCTTGAGTCAAAACCTTAAGTTTGCAATACTGCAATAGCATAATAACTTATCTAGTCTTTAATGAAATTATACCTCATTATCTTGTTATTGGGTTTATCCTGTTAAACAATAAATAAATAAATAAATAAATAATAAATTCCATGGAATTCCTCCAGGAATTCCATTAGGGATTCAAGTAGGATTATGTGGGATTCTGGATGTACACATTTTTCAACATAGTTTATTCCTGGGTTGGAATAAATGGAATTAATATTAGTTACCTTGAAACTGTTTGTTGAAAAACGGCAATTTTGAGACGAATAATTAAAATGGTTGCCAGAGCCTTTCCTGTCGCGGTCCTGCTCTTTCCGAGGGAAATTGATAAAATGATGGTAGCGATTGTAGTGAATAAGTAGTGGCAAGTATTGTTTCAAGGTATGAAACTCAACGTGAAAAAATCGTAAGGTAATTACTGTATTCATAGAACATTTCTGATAAAACATCATAAGCATGAATCACCTTCACAGTTCACACAGGACACAGGTACAAAATCGTCTGGCTGGCAAAAAATGAGGTTGGGTTATTGATAGTTTAAGCTTATATTACATAGTAGTCTCGGTGCGACTCTTGAATTTGAAAACTGCATACCTTGACCCAAGCTAACATGAAAAAGGCAACAGAATTTGGAGATACAAAAATAATTCCATCAAACAGCCCAAAATGGATTTGTCACTGGAGGAAGGCAAAAAAAAAATTTCTTACCGGTTTGGGTGCGTTTGCTTTTGGGGCTCTTCTTTTAGGAGGCATTGTAACGCGAATGAATGAAATGATAACAGAAATTTGAATACTTTTTTTTTTAGCAAAATCGCAAAGCACGCGGGCACAAGCAAAAACGATCAACGAATCGAATTAGCCGACTACCCCGTTCTCCAGTCCCGCCAAAACTGTTTTTTGTATTTATGGCAGTTCCTGTTCCTACCGGGTTGCCAAATTATCGATATTGACAGTTGACTAGTGACAGGGGGAAATTGGGGAGCGCTCAAAAACATAGTGCAACTCGTTAATGTTTTCAATCGGAGCGGAGTATTTTTTTTTTACTCCTTTCTGACCTTTCTTGATGTCAAAAAAATCAACACGTGTTTTTTCTTTTTCTTCTTAGTCAAAAATTGACGGAGATACAACACTTTGAAATGTCTTTCTGACGTCATAACTTATAATACGTTGTGACGTTGCACATGCTCAGTATATCTATATACCTATATAAAACTCAATATCTGTATAGCTTTCGAAATAATGATATTTGGACGAAATAAAAAAACGCATCGATTTTTTTTCGATTTCCTACAGTTTGCAATAAACAATAATCAATTTAATTTTCCATGCTAGTACCCTATTGCAAATTTCAAGACACAATATAAAGAAACAACAAAAACAATGAGTACACTCTACACTCAGGCGGTCCCAGCGGCTGAGCTGCTTAGAAAAGCTGGGTTCGGCTATTCAGGACGGAGTTGGAGTGGAGTAAGAATAGATTCTTATCACGTGATCTAGGAGTGATTAGAGTGAAAAATTAATAGACGAACTACGAACGGTCGAAGCGAAGACGTCAAACAGATGATTTGTTTTGTTTCAAAACAACAGTCAACCGTGACTTCCAGCAGACGCAGAGATATGTGAGGGAAATAGAATGCGCTTAGACGACTGCGCATCCGATTTTATGATGGTAACGCCAATGAACTATAGTCAAAAACTGGAATGCGCACACATTAGTTGTATTCCTTTCACACCTAGGAGGAGCTCCGGAACAGCTCCGGGGCTTCACGCGCTTATTCCTTTCGAAAAGTGTTTGTTGCACCACGCATATGTTCCCTGCAAATCGGGGGCGACTAAGCACCGAAGCGAGTAGCTCGAGTGTTTCAAGCTCTTGAAAGGAATACAACTATTGCCATATCTGCCAAAAAAATTTAGCCATGAAAGACAGATGCCACAGAGGGGAATGTTGTTTTTTTATGTTGCTCGCTGACATATGACGTTTTGGAAAGTTTTGTCATATTTACCTTCACAGGTTTCATCAATTGGAATACGTGTTGGAAGCAATTTCCGCCATTTAACATAATGAGTGCGACAAAAACAGGTATCCCCTCCACAGCAGCGGCACTAGGCTTCACGTTCGTCAATATGTGTTCGCATTCCAGTTTTTGGTTATAGTTCATTGGGTAACGCATAGGGTGCCGCCATTTTTATCACTTTTCATTTATGCCATTTCCGATCAGGGATGTGCGTCTACACGTAGACTTTCATTGTCTACTTTACGTGTAGAGAATGTAGACAACGCGTCACATATTTTTAATCAGTGAATGCTAATATCAAAGTGATAGGTATAGGCTACTTAGGTAGTAGTAATTTTGGAACTTTTTTTTAAATTTTATAAAATAAGTTTATTGTTTACGTCACATGTAGACAATGTGTAGACAAATGCCCACGTAAACAATTCGAATTGTCTACACATAGACAATCATTTGTTTACGTTGACATTGTCTACAGGCACATCACTGTTTCCGATTAGTAGATCTAGTGTAGTTTACTTTATTTCTGTCTTTTAATTTCTTCTACAGGTTGATCAAAAAGGATGAAAATACACTCAGTCCGCATTAAATCTACCAATCGGAAACGCCATTAAGCTACATCCTCAATCAATCCTGGTAGCAAAGTGGCACTTCGGCACGCGTGCTGGAAAATTGATACCCATTAGTTGTATTCCTTTCACACCTAGGAGGAGCTCCGGAACAGCTCCGGGGCTTCACGCACTTATTGGTTTCGAAAAATGTTTGTTGCACCACGCATATGTTCCCTGCAAATCGGGGGCGACTAAGCACCGAAGCGAGTAGCTCAAGTGTTTCAAGCTCTTGAAAGGAATACAACTATTCTCAATGCTGTCAATTTATGTAATTTCCTTGCGTTCGATATTTTGCTCAAAGAGCAGAGCGGAGCCGTAATTACGTGACCAGCAAGCACACAGAGCAGCTAAACGCTGTATCAGAGGGCTCGAAATTTCAATAAACGAACGTGAATGAGCTTGCACCGAGTACACTTTTTAAATAAACGAACGGTAAATGTATGCTCGGAGAACTCAGATTAAAATACCGAACGCACGGTTAATGTACTGCGCATGACAGAAGTCGTCACGCATCGAAAAAGTTTGCAGCTTGCAAGCTTGCACTTCGGAGTCGGCGTGCATGCTAGCACGGAATTGAATTGAGAATGCCAACGTTAAACAACATTGTCCTAGCATGCGTGCCGAAGTGCCACTTCGCTACCTGGGGTGCGATTTTCGAAACCATTTGAGTACATTTCGTACACGAAATTTGACTGACAGCAATGTAAATTAAATGGGGAGCAGTCAAATTTCGTGTACGAAATGTACTCGAATGGTTTCGAAAATCGCACCCCAGATTGATTGAGGATGGGCCTTCAGTACCTCCTATACGAATTTCGTATTCTACATTCTACGACGCACAAATTTCAGGACATGCGCAGAATCGCGACGGTACATAGTACAGTTTCCTTGTGTCGCAACAAAGCTTTAGAAAATCGTACAATTTACTGGCACGATTCTGCGTAAAATCCGAAGTTCGCTTATCGTATACCAGAGTGGTTGCGAGACCGTTTATAAAGAAATGAATGGTAAATTTATTTCACAGATAGTTACCTGGGTCCTAATTCTTGAAACAGCGGCGCAGCGTTCCCAAGAAAACGAGTGTTGGGACTTTCTCAATGATATGCAACTGATAATACAAGTAACAAAGACGGAACACTCGTTCTCCTGCTGGGGAACTATCCTTGCGTTCGGTATTTTGCTCAAAGTGTAGAGCGAGCTGAGCGGAGTCGTAATCACGTGACCAGCGAGCGAAGGGAGCAGTTGAACGCTGTATAAAAGTACCGGAAATTTTAATAAACGAACGCGAATGAGGCTGCACCGAGTACACTTTTTAAATAAACGAACGGTAAAGTCAAGCTCGGAGAACTCAGACCAAAATAACGAACGCACGATGTAACAAATAGGGAACTGTCAGTCAGTAGTCAGGCAAGGTCACATGGGTCGGAATTTTCAAACAGGCTGGGTTCCGTTTCAAACCTTGGTTACGGTTACACGTTCCGTAATGTCTGGTTCCTGATAAACAGGTCTATACGGAACGCGGTTGGTTATGTCAAACATGTCACCAAGGCAACTGGCGCGGCTGCGATTCTGGCCGGGGATTCTAAAATCACGATTCGACATACGACTCGACCAAGACTCGACAACGAGACGATTTTTCCGACGATTCTAGGTTAGAAATCTCATTGGAATTGTACCTTTCGAGACGACAAGGCCGGTATCGTTATCGAGTCGTGTGTCGAATCGTGATTTTAGAATCTCGGCCCTGGATTGGAAAAGCGTTCCGTATGAAACCGAAATTTTCAACAACCACTTGTCAATCGTTGTCAACCGCTGTCAACCGACATTACTGTGTATCGACCGGTTAACCAGCGGGGGGATTGCGAAAACACGACTCGAAACGGACACTCGATTCGATAGTGGATACGCATCGACCAGTCGAGTGACTTTCGTCGAAATGCATTCGCGGCATGGCGGTTTCGGTTCGAATCGAGAGTTCGTAATCCGCCCCCAGGTTAGGCAACGGAACCCACCCCAATTCTCTGTTTCGACCAGTAGACTGGGCGAGCAGATCTTTAGCGCAAAAATAAATCAACTCTCATGCTGGGTTTGGTACGAGATTATAAATATCAAGTGCACTAGGTCCGAACTGTGCCGCTGGGTTCGAGAACCATTTCGAGCTAATAGAGTAACTTCCTAAGCCTAGGCGTTCCGAAATAGCGTCAGTAAAGTTCAGTTTATTCATCTCAGATAAACTTACTGGGTCCTTATTCTTGAAACAGGGGCTCAGCGTTCCCAAGAAAACGAGTGTTGGGACTTTCTCAATGATATGCAACTGATAATACAAGTAACAAAGACGGAACACTCGTTCTCCTGCTGGGGAACTATGTAACGAATAGAGAGAACGCTGCTCCCAGTGCCCCCCATGTGACCTTGCCTGACTACTGACTGACAGTTCCCTATTTGGGAAATTCCCAAAACTAAAAAAAACAATGAAAAAGTGAAAAATAGTGAATGTCAATACACTACTGAGTAATTTAAATATTTTTAGTCGAATTGTTTTATTTGTGCTTCTTGGAAAACAAATCGAAAACCTTTAAAAAAGGGGAAAAATGGTGGACGATTTGGGTGAGAATTTGTTTTGTTTTTTTGGCTATTCGGCTTAGCTGCTTAGCTCAAATCAAACTTTGAAGCTGGCAGCTGGCCTCATGCATGATTATAAAAACCGAGGATTCAAATATCAAATAAAAAAAAGCTTTATTGTCCAAAGAATCTAAAATTCTCTTTTACAAAGCAAACCTTACTACTAGAGATGAATATTTCTCTGTAGGTTTCAAGAATAAGTTGAAAAACATTTATATAAATGTAAATAATTCCAAGACAACAATAAATACATACCCGGTAGCAGAAGCAGACAAACGAAAAATTCAATGTAATGTGGTCAATGACACATGTAGGTATAAGATAATAAAGTAACAACCAAGTTAATAGTCATAGTAGAATGCAATACAGAAACCCAATCACTGATAGATATAAAATGAGAACCCTCAATTCAGAGTCGTTTAGAAATTTATATAGAATAATCAGTGGCGACGCCAGGGGCCTTATTCTGTAAAGAACAAACCGTTCGATTCGGTAGAATTTCTTCGATTGTGACGTAAATTTAGCTGGCCCCCCCCTGAAAACTTGCCCTCATGTCGACATCTCTCTGGTGGCCGATCCTTGGGCCAGGGAGTAGAGCTCCCCGAGAGAACAAATTTTTCGTCTTTATCATTCTTGTTCACTTTTCGATATAGTTGACAGGGACAAAACATTCGTTCTATCGGGGAGCTCTACTCCCT